CCCCCCCTCCACACGGCCCTTCCCCACGCCTACCCCCTCCTCCTCCTTCCCTCCACCCCCCCGAAGGCCAGCGCCCCCTTCCCCAGCGCCCCCCCCGCAGGCCCTTCCCCAGCGCCCCCCATCCTATGTCTCCCTCCCCCGCCCAAAGCCTCCTGCTCCCCCCTCACCCCCCGCGAGGACCGGCCCGGGGCTCTCACCATCATAGTAGTAACAGACTTTCCGCTTGGTCCCCTGTGTCAGCGCCATTTTCCTGCCGCCCGACCGCACCAAACCCTCCCGCAGCGCAACCGAACGCGCCCCGGGGGCCAAGCACCCCGCGAGCAGTTCCTCCCGCCCCCGCGGGGCAGCAGACCTATCGGGGAGTGGCTTGTCCCCACTTCCCTCGGAGCAGCCAATGAGAAGTCAGGTAGGGCGGGGCGGTAGGATTAGCACAATAGGTAGAGCGCAAGTGTTCCTGGACTGTACCATTCCCAGAGAAGGGGGAGAAAAGGAGGAACGGGTTGGCAGGACTGTACCATTCCGAAGAATAGGGGTCTGGTCAGACCGAAGTTTACCATTGGGGGGGAGGTAAAGGGAAAGTACCATTTCTCAGAAAATGGGGGGTGGGGGAAATAACGCAGGCAGGTACCATTCCCAGGAGGGCTGACAGGACTGAACCATTCTGGGCAGCTAGGGCTAAACCACTTGACCCTTGCTGCCACGACATCACGTGCCACATGGCTGTACCCACATTGCCATTTGATCCCTTGCTAGTGCCGGCCCACAATGCACTGGACGCGCCCACGGGCCTGGCTGGAGCCCTGTAGGACAGGGCTACAATGGGATGGGGGTAGCAGAAGTTCCAGAATGCACTGGGGCTAGCATGGCTACAGGGGACCTGGGAGGGGGGGCACTGTGTGTCTGCCCCAGCTGCGGGGGGCACATTATGGTGACCAGACGTCCCCATATTGGGGCTTTGTCTTATATAGAGCAACGACCCCTCTCCTCCCCCCACCCCGAAAAAATTATCCCATTTTTCACACTTGCCATCACCCTAGGACACATTGACATGCATGAGGGGCAGCTGTTTGGTCATGCCTAAGGCCCTACCAAATTCATAGTCCATTTTTGTAAATTTAATGGTCATAGCATTTTAAAAATCTTGAATTTCATGGTTTCAGATATTTAAATCTTAAATTTCACTGTGTTGTAACAAAGCCTGAATATATACTTAAAAACAGCAACATATGAACATATAAAGCCCTTATGTCAGCATTCCTCAAAGTGGGGTTCTCAACCCAAGAGGGGGTCGCAAGGCTATTGTGGGGAGGAGGGTCGCAGTATTGTCACCTTTATTTCTGCGCTGCCTTCAGACTGGGTGGCTAGAGAGCAGCTGTCTGGATGCCCAGCTCTGAAGGCAGCGCTGCCACCAGCAGCAGCACAGAAGTAAGGGTGGCAGTACACCATACTCTCTAGCTGCCCAGCTCTGAAGGCAGTGCAGAAGTAAGAGTGGCAATATCGCAATGCCCCTACAATAGCTTTGCAGTTCCTTTTGGGTCAAGACCCCAGTTTGAGAAACTTTGTATACTTTCCCCCTGTAGTATAGTATATAGTGTAAAAGTACACAAAACACCAGATTTCCCAGTCCATGACACGTTTTTCATGGCCATGAATTTGGTAGGGCCCTAGTCATGTCACAGCGCCAGATCCCGCACCTAGGGACTCCCTGACAGGTGTCACCCTAGCTCCCCCGCATGCCAGTTGTGACAAGTTCCTGCTATATCCTTGCAAGACTTAGTTCTATTAAGTTTATGTTTCATCTTGGGCTGGGACTGTATGTAACCTCTCTGGGGGGATGTGAAACCTGGGAGTTCAAAAGACTATATTGAAAATGGGCCAGACAAGTGTGGACAGTTGGGACAATAAATGTTAAGTGGATTTCCTGGGAATACCTAGGGAAAGGTGAATGCAAATTCCCCAACTCTGGTTATGCAAAAACCCAGCCTTTTATGCCCTAAGGAGGTGAGTGTCTGCTGATTACCTGTTACAGAAGGCCAAGATCAATGGCATGAGCGATATACATTAACAGCTGGTCTTCCCAGCCTGGGTTCTGGTTCTGGTTCTGGTTCTTTGTTGGATATGAATTTGTAACCACAGGAAAAACCCAGTTGCGGATTTTGAAGGACTGACACCTACCAGAGCCCTAGGCTGGATTTGGGGGGTGACCTCTGGTAAGCTTTCTAGCATGCATGTAGGTTCTTTTATTGTTTTAATGTGCTTTCGCTGGAATGCTTTTACCTTAAGAACAAATGTGCTTGCTTAGCCGGAACTGGGTGGTAACTTACACCTCTGGGCAATGCCCTCGGCATAGAGAGAAAGCAAAGCACAGGCGCTGTCCTTTTAGGCAGACTGGCTTGCTGGGAATTTGACATGGTAAACCAGGGGACTGTGTAGCCTTAAAATCCCTGGTTAGGAAGGCGTGAGACACGGGTCTCTGCCCAAGAGACATGACGATTGGGAGCCGGAAGCTAACGTGGACCATGCATGGGGAATACTGGTACAGCTATCCTGAAACTGTGATACCAGCACCCCCTTACTGGGTACTGCCTGAGTGTTCCCATTGACCCTGTCAGGCGGTAAGTACGTCCCTCCTGACCCCCTGCCAAGCTGCAGCTGGTACCAAGTGCACCCCTTCCCTCTGAGAAATGCTGCCTCGGACCCCCCTCCTCACCAAGTGCCCTGGCCTCCTATTGGGCCTGGCTTAGGGCCCAATCCTGCAAGTTCCCTGTTGGGTTCCCCTGTGAGGTTCTGAGAAGGAGAGCCAGTAGCCCACCTTCAGCTCTGCATACACACAATGTCAAGTTAGGATGAGCAGCTCCCCTCCCGCCCACCCCGGAATGGAGGAAGGAGGCTCCATTTCAAAGGTCTTTATTTACTGAAAATCAAAGAGCAACACAAGACAGGGCTTTAAGGTACAATGGGAAATAAAAGAGCCCTGCACGGGCTGGTTATTCAGGGTGGCTTGTTCCTAAAACAGGGAGTTGGGAGGGTGTCTCTCAAACAAGCCTTTTGTGAGACTAGGCAGAACCCCCGATTGTAGGGATTGGTCCAGACTACAGCCAACACCTGCCGAGTCAAATTCTGAGACCACTTCTGGATCTAAATGTTGTGGTTTGAACCTGTCTCTGTCGACGTTCCAGGACACTAACGTCTCGTTCAACAGTGCAGAGAAACCAGAAGTGCTTTTGCCTCTGCAGCTCCTGCCAGTTGAAACAGCCTTCTGTATCTCTCCACACCTCTTGGACTCACCAGGTCCTTTGCAGTCTGAGCTGAAATCCTCTCCTTTTCCTCCTGCCTGGTCATTCCTCTCTCCCTTTGCTAAAATGTTTGAACTGGTTGCCTGCTTTACCAAACTTTCTAAAGGGTTCCGGGACCCATTGTGTGCGACAGCCACTGGTCAGAGTCCAGCCGTGTGGTTTCAGAGTGAAAATGAGCAAGCGAGCAGGGCAGAGAGTGGCTGCTTCATGGGCACTGGGACACATAGACGTGGGCAGTGGTGTCCCAGAGACAGTCTGGCTCTGGTGTGAAGAGGTTTCTGCCTCTGATACAATGCACAAGGGGGCCCTGCGTCCCCTTGGAGCAGCTGTGGTGAGTGCAGCGATTTGTGTGCCTTGATCACAGCCCTGTGCGTGAACTGTTCTGTCACAAGGCTGGCAGAATCCCTTGGCACTGATACACCATCCATCTTCACTGGGGAAAGAAAACGCACTGGGGAAATCCTGCATTGGGAACCCATGGGTAGGGATGGAAGAGACATGAGGTGCTCCACCTTGCAGCTCTCTGAGCCTCTCATGCTGGAAGATCAGTGCTGATAAGGGGTTCTTTGGTTCTAGTGCAATTTGTGGTGGGTTCTGAGCCTAACCCATAGCTGGGGCTGCAAGAGAACTTGGCTTCTGCATCACACTGGGGCAAAAGGATGATTTTAGTTGCCAGAGATATGGGTCTGACTGTTCACAGAGCAGCTCTCTGCACTATGCACACTGCATATCCGTGTGTGTCTCTACCATGTGGGTGTGTTTACACGCCTAAGCCTTTGTGTGTGTCTGCATAGCTGAATATTTGTGTGTTTATGGCCCGTGTGCACACACACACATATATTGAGTATCTGTGCATTGAGTGAGCCCATGTACAGTGCTGTGGGCATACAGGTGTGCCCCCGGTGTTTGTGTGGGTGCTCTAGCATGTGTGTACCTGCACATGCAACTCAGGTAGAAACCTCGCAGCCCTCTGGGTCATGCAGCTCTTTTGTCAGCACTCATAAAACACACGTTACCTGTGCTCAGAGAATCAAGAAGAATCAGCTGCATGAATGTGTGCTCCAGAAACAAGTAAAAACCGTCACTGGCGTGAGGGGGAGAGACGAGTTTCTGCCAGGGTTAGGCTGTGATCCAAAGGCCCGGGCCTGAGCTGTGAGTCTCTGAGGAGCTAATGTACAGGGACCATTCCCCTCCCACCCCCCGCACATCCCAAAGTGAGGACGCCGCCAACCCTGGCTCAGGGTCTCGTCACGGCTGCTGCTGGTACTGGCCCTCTGTGGCAGTGAAAAAGTCCTCAAGAACGCTCTTCATGTACTCGAAGGTGGGGCGCTCCTCTGGGCTCTCCTTCCAGCAGTGCATCATCAGTGCATACAGCTCCTCTGGGCAGTTGTCGGGCTGAGGCATTCGGTAACCGCGCTCCAAGTTCTGTATCACTTCTGGGTTAGTCATCCCTGTGGTCACAACACACAGCCCCGAATTAGGAACCGGCCGAGTCAGAGTGTAATTTACAGACCCCAGTGCTGGGAGAGGCGTAGCTATGCCCTTCCCCACAGCCTGTGATCCTGCGCTATTCCCTGCTGCACCTCTGGCTGATCCAGTCTGGGACTGGAGTAGCTGGGCACGTCTTCACTGTGCCCTGCAACACCCGCTCCTGGGGGGTGCTGGGGCATAGGAGATGGAGCCACCCCTTGACAGTCAGGGGGCCTACTATTTTTCCAACTTTATGTGGCTGATGAAATATATATTAGAAATAGGTCAAAAATGGTCCTACACACACACACACACACACACACACACACACACACACGCCTACCCCTTC